GTGACTCGGGATGACGTGTTGTGAATTGGCGCTATAGAAATAAACTGAATAGAATTGAATATACTCTTAATAAACTGCAGCTACAAGCTATCAGCAGTATATCCATCTATCAACTGCTAGATCAGGATGAACAGTTTAACCATAACAGGAGTGATGGGAAGCCTTGTTTGTTCACATGTAATCGGCTCCTTTCAGCCAGCTGACTGACTGTGCTCAGGAACAGGTGGTTCATTAGTAAAAAGATCATTGTTATTATTTTTTTCTCTGTTGTGCTCCTCAGAAATGCCGCTGAGTGGTTCGGCGTCGGTGAGGACTGTGAGACGAAGCAGCAGGTATGGCACAGGAAGAGCCTGCGCCACTGCAGTCAGCGCTACGGCAGGCTAAAGGCCCAGTACAGGGAACCAGAGACGGCCTCCACACTGGACCAGAATCCAGACTCTCCGGCCACCAGCAGGCTGCCAAGGGTAGGCCGGATTTCATCACCTGGATAGACTCAAACAGGACTTTTTTGGGTTTAAAGCTATTTCTGTGTTCTCATTTAGATCGTTGACCCCCTGGCACGAGGCAGGGCTTTCCGTTACCCAGACGAGATGGACGGTGGTTTACCCAGAACCCCCCACACAACCCACGGGGGGCCCTTCACGCCCGGAGTCGCCTCACTGAGCTCCTTCACCAGCCAGCGCTCCGGATACAGCCGCTTCCCCAGACGGAAGAGGGAGTCTGTGGCCCGGATGAGCATCAGAGCTGCTTCCAACCTGCTGAGGGTGAGCCATCCAGCTCAGGGGTGGGCGATAGTTTGCGAGTTTTCCCTCGCACAATAGTTAAAATGACTCTATCGCAGCCATCAAGTACAAATTCACATAACAACATTTAGCCGTCTGCATCTATTTCACTGAGAATTTTTCCCCCCACACACTTTAACTGCTTCATAAGCCCCTCCTCCAAACAGTGTTATTTTCCGTGTTGCACGGATGCACGCTACAGCAACCGGTAAACAAAATATGGCGACATCAGGTGTTTCAGCTGAGCAATATGGCAGTGGATTTAACGGCGATGACGTCAAAGTAAAGGCGCTGATTTGTAAGACGTGCCGCCAAAAAACAAATTTAAATTAAATAACATAATATAATTTATTTCACCACCTAAAAAGAAATCCGCTGCACAATGAAGAATGTTGTAAGCTGATGGCGTCGTCGTTTGAAAAAGCGATCCCATATGAGAGAAACAGGAAGGACAGAAACAGAAACAGGAAATTAGATGCTATTTATTATGTTATCTAAATGTTTTTTTTAGATGCACTAATACCTGTGATGTGATGAGGTCTTGTTCAAAGGTTTTGCAGTAGTTCTCTAAACTTTGCAGCGTTCTAAAGTTCATAACTCTTTGTGCTTCTATTAAATTCCCAGCACGTAAAGATCAGTGCTAATAGTCTGGAGTTGTTCTGATAGTTGTTGTTCTGATAATGCTCTAGTTTTAGGAAAGTATTTCCAGTTTTGTTCTTGTAATTTTGGGTCAATTTCTTTTTTTCATTCTGCAATTTTTTTTTTTTATTATGCACAAAAAAGCCCTTTTTTATTTAGCATTTTATTTACAGCGGGTCCTTAAAAAAGTCTTAAAAGGCATTGAATTCTTCAAAATAAAACTAAGGCCTTAATTGGTATAAAAATTTCTTAAATTAGTCTTTCGTAGGTCTTAATTTTTAAAACATAATAGGATTATTTTTATTACGATTTATTTTTTTAAATAAAACATTAAAATTGACAATTTTTTATTTTTATTTAAAAAAAATAACGGCTCGCCATCATGGTTCTGTCCCGATAGCGGAACCAATAAAGCGTTGTTGCAGCCGGGACA